ACTGCTATTCAAACCATTAAGAAACAACTTGAGGAAGCCTTTAACATTAAGGATTTAAGAGAACATAAACAATGAGGGTATTATATGTTGTGCTAAAAAAGTTTGCTTTAGATGTTCTAACTGTGGATTATTGAGTTGTGAACCTGCATAATCTCCTTCTACTTCAGGTTCTAAGATATCCTCCAAACAATGTACCCTTCTCCTTTATCCTTCTCCTTATAAACGGTTGATAAGACGTCTTCTTTACTTGTGTAACTCGATGCCTAATTTAGCTCATGTTCTACATCAACTTAGTCTATTTTTCACATGCTGCGATTGATATACATATTAAGGCTGTTGAAAACGACATGCTTTGTGCGCTCATGATTGACTAGATTGTCAACCAATCTTATGGTAGACATGCTGGCACAAAAGATTGGAGTAGGAGAAGATAAAGTAACATACAAATCATGCATCAATTATCATAACCAAAGTACTTCAATAGTCACCCTAGCCATATCTCGATATTCTGCTTCAGTAGAAGATCGAAACAAGGTTTTATATTTCTTGGATCGCCAACTGATAAGTGACTTACCCAACATAAAACAAAAACCGGTTGAAGAGCGAAGAGAGTCGGGACAACCCACTCAATCACTGTCACAAAACTCATTCAGTTGTATAACTTAATTAGAGAAGAAAAGACCTTGACCTGGGTTCTTTTTTAACATAACACATTCAGTTGTAAAGCAAATTTCCGTTGGCACAACATAATACCCTCAGAAATCGACAATCAGGTAGACGATACATGCATATGATGTACATAAGCACGTCATTCGTGATAAAATCATCACTGAGGTGATTGAGGTTATGCATGTACCGTCTTTTAGCCAACTTGCTGATATTTTGATATTTCACAAAGTCTCTTCTAGTGATAGATTTTCAGGAACTTCATTCCAAGCAGGGTCTTCAAGACATATGCCCACCACCTTGCGGGGGTGTTGTCCGAAGGTGAAGACTGAAGGACTTGATTGTATATTTTTAATAGTGTTGAGGATTAGGTTGTATGTTTATAATAGTGTAGGATTGAATGTGTAATGTTATTTACTTTGTGATTTGATTAGGACTTTAGCCTTAAGTATATAAACTATGATTGTAATTGTAAACGAATGATGTAATTTTTGCTCTCCGATCAATAAAATTTTGCCAGTGCCGTCTGGTTTCTTTTCTTCTTCAGCGATTATTACGACTTCCAATAAATTATTTGACACCTTTAACCGAGTTTAATAGTAATTATTGCACTGTCACCTTTCGAATTCTCTATTGCTACAAGTAATTAAGGTCTATGATTGGTTTCCACAGCAAGGTATACCATAGTTTAAGGTCCAAGTTCGTTTTGTACCATAAATATTTTTTTAAAGCTCATAAGCACCAGTATTTTAAGATACAAACTGAATTGTACTATAGCAATGAAGGTACAAATTTAATTTGTACCACAAAAGAAATTAGTATAAAAAATATGAATACAAATTGAATTTGCCGAACATATTATTTTTTAAACGAAAACACTGTTACCTATGAGCATAATAGGAGTTCAAGTTTACCGGCCATCGTTTCTAGCTAGTTGATTAGTTTATACTTTATAGTTAAAAAGTCAAATGTTAGGGTTAGAAATGATCAGTAGTGGAGTAAATACTCCGTTTAATACACGTATATGTACCCGTACATACTTTATTCGTTTAAAACTTATGTATCCGTGTTATTGTCAAGACGTTTCATATTTTCCCGTTCATTTGATGAATCTCGTACTAAACACGTATAAAACCCGTATAACACGTTTAATAAATTGCTAATTTTACTATTATTAATATGTTTATTTATTTTTAAAATAATTAATATTTTTATATTTATGACTATTAACATACTATTAAACGTAACATTAGCTTAGAGACAAAATAAAATACTCGTACATATTTTATACATAACTTTTCTGTATCGTACTTTATAGTACACTTAAATGCAACTATTTAATTAGTGCTAAAAAACAGTTGAAATTATGCCGTGGAAGCTAAACACGAGGGGATTAAATTAGAATCTTATTTAAGACAATTAAGGTCGTCGACGTCGTAGTAGCCATGTGCAGCTACTGCAAGAGTATATATACCGCCATTTCATGACTTTAACTTATTAGCTTCCCACTGATCCAACGTCTGCACAAAGGTGATGAAGAAGAAGAAGAATAGAAGATATATATTCTTTGTAATTGTACCTATGTGCACATATTCTTGATTTGTTTATTTATTAAACGACTCAATTATTTTGGGCATATATTCTATTCTTATTTCTTAAGGAGGGGTTGGGCAAAGAGAGTTTCCTTTCCTCCCACACGCTAGAGAAAGACCAAAAATCAACAAATCCGTGTGTGGATAGGAGAAAAATGAAACCAACGGCCCAAATCCTAGCTTAGTTTGGCCATGCGGTAGGTTTTGCAAAAACAGCTTCTGGTTGGAGGTTTTAGATTAGTACTTTTAAAAAAAGTAGTGGAGTGTTTGGCTGTATAACTATTAGAAGTGCTTTTTAATATAAAATGTTGTGTAAAATGACTATAAAAGACTTATAATATAAAAATGAATAAAAATTCTTAACAATAAAAAGTAGTCAAAATGGATCTTGTTGATTTCTTTTATATTAAATAATATAATTTTATAATTTATTTTATTTTTAAAATGATATAAATGAAGGAAAATTATATTTTTTGAAATAAAATTAAAATATGGTAAGGATAATATTGTATTTTCAAAATAGTTTTTCTCAGAAGCTCTGCTTTTATGTTATACAAAAGCGCTTTTCGGATTTTCAAAAGCCGAACTTTTACAGATGTTTGGCCATGCTTCAGCTTTTGAACTCGAAAAATACTTCTAAAAGCCAGGCCAAACATGGGGAATATGCCATTCCATGCACACTCATTCCCACGCCTTCCATGCACACTCATTACGAAGTATACAAAACTGACTTACAAATAGTACAAATTCGAACGATAAAACATACAAACAGATTTACAAACAATACAAACATACTAACTATACAAACAATATAAAGTAGACAACAAATAATACAAACCATAAAAAATGGAAAAACAACCAGGTTGACTTTGGAGGCTCCATCTCTATATACAGGGGCACCGTCCGAAAGTCAACCCGGTTGTTTTTTAGACATACAAACATTACAAACATGATTGACAAAAATGACAAACTAGACTGACAAACCATATAAAAGAGAAAACACGCGGCTTGACTTTGGAGGCTCCATATCTATATAGAGGAGTTACGTCAAAAAATCAACCGGATTGTTTTTTTAAATAAAAAATATCACGAACATGGCTGACAAAAGTAACAAAGTTTACAAACATTACAATATAACAAAGCTTACAAACAATACATAATAAACCGACAAACATTACAAAGCATACAAACAATACAAAAAACACTACTTACAATACAAATTAGTAAAGTTGTATTACAAATCAATAAATACAAAGTATACCGTTTCAGAATCCATTTTTCCTGCCGCTGCTACACCCTTAACCGCTTTTATCTCTGGGAAATCATAACATAAAGTATACAAACTAGACTAACAAATATTATAAATCAAAATATATAAAAAATAGTCATATAAACTGTACAAACACAATAGACAAAAATAACAAACTAGAATGATAAACTCTACAAACCCAATTGATATAAACATTACAAACTGAACTTATAAAACATTACAAAATATGTCGACAAACATCACGAATCCAGCATAGCAACCGGAAAATCCTCATTCGCTGTCGCCGCTAGCCGAAAAGCCTCTTCCGCCGTCGCCGGAAAATCTCTCTCTCTCTTAGTTGCACCTAGGAATAATTTCCAAGAAAGGTGCCCGGCGGCAAAACTTCTCCATAGAAGGGTGGCTGACGAGGGAGGGGAAATTATTTCCCAGCAGCACGAGTCTGTACATGGGCGTTGGGCCGTGCTTGGGCCGACACGGCACGGGCACGCTTCGGGCCCATTTATTTGGTGTCGTGCTTGGCACGGCCTGTAAGTTTTGGTGTCGTGCCATGCAAGCCTATTTGTTAACTTTGCTAGGCCCGGCCTAGGTCCGGGCACGGTTCGAAACATGTCGTGCCTATTCGTGCTCGTGCCATGCTCGTATTCGTGTTTAATGACATGGAAGAAAACAAAAGAGAGAATGAAAAAGACGGTGAAAATTGAACGGAGAAAGATAGTATTAGCCGATAATGTTTAAAAAAGTAACAAATAAGGGGGAAAAGAAAATTGGAAGTATAGCGAGTGTGATTTGGCTTTGTTTAATTCTTTGTCCATTTTTACTTATGGTAGTAATTACGTATATATCTTTATGACACTTCTAACAACAACAAATAATTATTTTTCTACTTGTAATTTGTAATATTTGAACCTATAATTCTTTTTATATTTATTTTCTATCAAATAAATATTATTTTTGTGTCATGTCCGTTCTTATACTCAATAAAGTCTCGAAAATATTAGGCACGACACGACCCACTTATATACCGTACCGTGCCCGTGCTCATGAAGTTTAGGCCCGGCACGACCCATAAATTATTCGTGCTCATGCCGGGATGACCCATTTATTTGGTGTCCGTGCTCGTGGCGTGCTCTAACAGTGTCGTGTCGTGCTAGCCCGTGGGCGGCACGACCCGGTGCCCACTTACAGACACGATGCTCTAAATGTCGATGTTTCCCATTATTTTTTTAATTGTTAAATAAATAAAATATGAAATTACTATTCTATTCTTTATTAAATAAAATTATTTAGAATCATTAAATTTAAATGAGTTTGAATAGCTGAGATGCACTTAATCGCAACTAAAAGAACTCCGTTAATCAACTAATCTTAGCTCGTCTCCTCCTTCATTTTGTCGTACGAAATACCCTTAATTTCTTTTTAAAACAAATTGATTAAAGCATTTAAAATGCGGGACCGTGTAACAAAAAGAAAGCGACAATAAAGAATTTTCACTTTATCCCAACCCAACCTTTTCTCTCTCCACACTCTTCTTCTTCTTCGCGTCACCCTTACTCCATTTATTAAACCATTTCTGTCTCCCTCTGTCTGTCCCAGAAACAGAGCGGGAAGAAGAAAATGGTGGCGCCTTCTCCCTTCCCTCCCCCGCCTTCCTTTCGCCTCTACCACCTCCTCCTCTACCACTAAACTAAAGCCCTTCCAAACTAACTACTTCTTCCCTTCCATTCACCCCACAAAATTCCCAATCCCTTTCCCCAGATCTACAATCACCTCTCTCCCCTGCCCCTGCCCCTGCCGATCGGTCAATCTTAAAATTTTCAAACTTTTCTTTGATGGGAGCTGGTTTCTCCGACTTACTAGATCGAGACGACGGGAGGACCACTCTCGGCGACGTGCCGGAGAGCTGCGCGGCGTCCATTCTCGGGTGCTTGGACCCGCCGGAGATTTGCCGGCTGGCGGGGCTGAACAGGGCCTTCCGCGGCGCCTCGTGGGCGGACATTGTCTGGGAGACCAAACTGCCCTCCAATTATAAGTTCCTGGTGGAGAAAGTACTGGCAGACAAAACGATGCCGGAGAAGAGCAGCCGGAAGGAGATTTACTCCCGGCTCTGCGCGCCCAATTGCTTCGCCGATGACGAAAACAAGGTAGGAAATGAAATCCATATTACTACCTAACCAGTCAATTAACCTTAATGGTTGAGGGAGCTTAAAAATTGCGTCTTTAATTAGATGGTTTGGCTCGAGAAGAGCAGCGGCAAAGTCTGTGTGTTGGTTTCGTACAAGGCAATGAGGATCACGGGGATCGATGACCGCCGATATTGGACCCATATTCCCTCCGACGAGTCCAGGTAACTCCGGCGGTTATTTTGCTTTCCTTTTTTTTTCTTTTTCTTTTTTATATACTTCCACCCATGTATTTGTGATAGTGATGGGCTATTACGATGACAGATTAGGCGAATTACTACGTTGAATTTTGGTTAAGACTTAAGCAGCAGCTTTCAATAGCTATGACCTAATGAAGAATGGGGGGAAATAAATGGGTTTGCCGGTTGTGTCGCTGTTCTTGACCGCAACAAAAGCTGTTAAACTCGTTTCATATAAAATATCTTAATTGGGAAATGATATCTTCCTGTTCTTCCTGGGCCATAGCTTAAGATGTAGATGGGTGGGCACTCTTACTGTGTTGCTACTTGCTAGATTCGTCACATACTTTGCCCAAGTGGGTTAGATTGTGTAATCATGGTGTTGATAGAAAGCTTTTGTGGATTGCTAGATTCCATCACATTCACATAGTTGAGCCCAATCCATGTCCACCAGTCCACCAAAGAAAGGGTAGCTCTCATTTGTCACTTCTCATTTTCACCATGCCTTCCCAATTTCCTCGACATAATAAATTAAATATGGTCCTTTATGAGTTATATGGCGCCATGCACCTTCACAACAAAACAAAGAAAAGCTAGTTGTCATGATAGGAAAGGGGGAAAGGGATTTTGAATCGTAAGGGTTACATTTGGTGGTATGCATGGGGTTTGATGCAGTTCATAGCTAATCGAATCGAGACGTGATTGGAATACACATGAAGAATTTTTTTTCGATTGAGAGTGCATTTGATTCTATTCGATCTGTTTAAGGGATTTTCAAAACTGAATTTGTATTACTTTATGTTCGATCTAGTGCAGAATGAATTAAATATTGATTTGATGTGGAGTAGATCGAAAGGCTAAAACCATTGACCAGAAACCTGATCAAGTTTCGGATAGAGAGATTTAAATTATGGGAAAGCTTCCTTGTCACGTTAGGTGCTTGGAACACCTAATGGAAAATATTAAAAAATTATATGGAAGAGATGATAAAATGAGATGAGAAAGAGAGATGAGATAATGAATGGTGAGTTATTGACTCTAAAAGATCAATTGAAAAATGAACTTTTAGAAGCACCCAAAATAATATTAATTCAATAGATATCATCATAAATTCAGAAATCCACTTTATAAGAACAAAATTAGTAAAATGGCTACTGAAAACATTTCAATAAAACTAGAAAATTGGGGAAAACAATGAATGAATATCGAGAAAAAATAATAAATATACTAGAAAGTAATGATAAACAACTAAGAACAATACTAGAATATCAATGTAATGAAAAAAAAAAGATATATATTCATATTTAGAACTAGCTAAGGATACTATTACTAAGATTATAGTGGATATAAAAGAACGAGAAGTGGCAATAGGAAAATCAACTTCAAATTCTAAAGAAATAGTCTTACCAGAAGAAGACCTTAAAGAAATCATTATCAAACTTCAAGAAATAATAATCAAATTAGACAATAAAAGGTGCATTACAATTGAAGATATGAAAAAACATATAGATAAACATAAATCAGGTAAATCAATTCCATTGACTATCACAGCACCTTACAAACTTTTATGACTAATATTGACGAACAAATCAATAAATTAAATGATTTACTAGCCGCAATTACTATCGAATCTGAACCAGAGATAGAAGAAAATATCGAAAATGATAAAATAGTCCTTGACTATAGTAGCGACAAAAATTCCTATAAAAATTATACAAATACAAATTATACAAAAACTGAAACTGAGGATCAACCTGAAACATCACGAAAACGTGATTTCATTAACTATAAAGATGGTCGACTATTTTTTGATGAATACTTATACAAAAATTCGTATACACCTCGCAAAGAGGGAGGATGGAGTAAAATACCTCAATCTTACATACCAAAATATTCCACCACCAGTTTTAACAGTCCTGACATTTTAGACCTTGATTGTTGCATCAATCCATTAAAAGAATTAGAAGACTGGAAAAATGGAACATGTTTATTAATACAAACTTACGAAGATCTAAAAAAAATACAACCTAGCGAAATGTTTAATTTCTTAATATATAAAACAACTGGGGCTGTTTATCATTATCTTAACAACATGGATATTCCAGCTAAGACACTATTATATGGAACAGCAGATGCTACAAATACCTTTGAAAATTTTTTAAATTCAATAACTTATGAATTCTTAGGACGACATCCTCGGGAAAATAAAACAAACACAACTATAAGTCAACAAGCTATTTGGCATTTAACTAACCTTAGAATCTACAACATGTGCTTCTTAGAACCATTTATCTGTGAATTCAGAACACACTATTATCAAGTTACCCCTTCAATAAGGAAAGACCTAGATAAATTATTTTATGCCAAATTACCACCTATTGTCTCTGAAAAAATCGAAGCTATCTTTAATGAGTCTTTGTCAAAAGAAGAAATACCAGATACATTAGGAGGAAGAATATTAGTTCTACAAGAATGGCATAAAAGAGCTTGTAATGAAGAAAAGTTAAAGAAACAAGCTAAAATTAAACTCTGTTGGGAAGAAACAATGGATAGAGTTGGAAAATATGGGTGTAATAACGATCGAAAGATTACTAAAACTCGTAAAAAATATAGAGATTATAGAAAATGGAGGAAAATACCTTATAAAGAATATCGAAAAAATAGGTTTAAAAAACCAAGTAAATATTTCAGAAATAGAAAACAATTTAAACAAAAAACAAAACAACAAGAATACTGTCCTGAAGGAAAGACAAATTGTAGATGTTGGTTATGTAATGAAGAAGGACATTACGCAAATAAATGTCCTAAGAAAAATACTAATACTAGAAAGCAAGAAGTCCTTAGATTAGCATACGATTGTGGTTTTGAAGTTCAAAACCACAATCGTATGCTAATCTAAGGACTTCTTGCTTTCTAGTATTAGTATTTTTCTTAGGACATTTATTTGGGATAAATGTGGGATCAAAGGCAGTTATCCTTATGGGAGTATCAAACCATGATTATCCTACCAGAGATGACCTACGAGACTATGAGAAGAACCCAGACTACCAAGTAAAGGGTCTTCTAGCAGTGTGCAGAGCATTAACCAAGATTGAACCAGAAAGTCAGATCAAGGTCAATTACAGCAGCCCCGATGCCATCATCACCAGTAAAACTAGAGGAAATATGACCAAGGAAGAATGGACAATCATAATAGATAAAACTAAAGAATTCATTGAAATTAATGGAGGGAGAGAGTAAACATGCAATTTTTATGGCCAAGCCTTACAACTAGCAAGCTAGAGGGAGAGAGTAAACATGCAATTTTTATGGCCAAACTCGTTCTGCCTTATTTCATTGCAAACTCTTGCTCTTATATAGAGCTGAGAGGGAATACAAAAACGCCATTGCTTACGTCTGTTAGACAGGGACGTATAGCTAACACATCAAAAGAAAGTGCGTGAAACGATAAGAAAAGCTTATAAAGTACAATAATGCGCGACTTTTTTAAAGGAGTCGGCCAACCTTCTCTTGTCGTTTTTATCCCATATTTGTTTGATTCCTCTTTAGTTTTATCTGTTATTATTGTCCTAAGAAAAATACTAATACTAGAAAGCAAGAAGTCCTTAGATTAGCATACGATTGTGGTTTTGAACTTCAAAACCACAATCGTATGCTAATCTAAGGACTTCTTGCTTTCTAGTATTAGTATTTTTCTTAGGACATTTATTTGCGTAATGTCCTTCTTCATTACATAACCAACATCTACAATTTGTCTTTCCTTTAGGATAGTATTCTTGTTGTTTTGTTTTTTGTTTAAATTGTTTTTTATTTCTAAAATATTTACTTGGTTTATTACACCTATTTTTTCTATATTCATTAGAAGGTATTTTCCTCCATTTTCTATAATCTCTATATTTTTTACGAGTTTTAGTAATCTTTCGATCGTTATTACACCCATATTTTCCAACTCTATCAATTGTTTCTTCACAACAGAGTTTAATTTTAGATTGGTTCTTTAATTTTTCTTCATTACAAGCTCTTTTTTGCCATTCTTGTAGAACTAATATTCTTCCTCCTAATGTATCTGGTATTTCTTCTTTTGACAAAGACTCATTAAAGATAGCTTCGACTTTTTCAGAGACAATAGGTGGTAATTTGGCATAAAATAATTTATCTAGGTCTTTCCTTATTGAAGGGGTAACTTGATAATAGTGTGTTCTGAATTCACAGATAAATGGTTCTAAGAAGCACATGTTGCAGGTTCTAAGGTTAGTTAAATGCCAAATAGCTTGTTGACTTATGGTTGTGTTTGGTTTATTTTTCCAAGGATGTCGTCCTAAGAATTCATAAGTTATTGAATTTAAAACTTTTTCAAAGGTATTTGTAGCATCTGCTGTTCCATATAATAGTGTCTTAGCTGGAATATCCATGTTGCTGAGATAATGATAAACTGCCCCAATTGTTTTATATCCACTATAATCTTAGTAATAGTATCCTTAGCTAGTTCTAAATCTGAATATATATCTTTTTGTTTTTCATTACATTGATATTCTAGTATTGTTCTTAGTTGTTTATCATTACTTTCTAGTATATTTATTATTTTTTCTTGATATTCATTTATTGTTTTCCCCAATTTTCTAGTTTTATTGAAATGTTTTCAGTAGCCATTTTACTAATTTTGTTCTTAGAAAGTGGGTTTCTGAATTTATGATGATATCTATTGAATTAATATTATTTTGGGTGCTTCTAAAAGTCCATTTTTCAATTTATCTTTTAGAGTTAATAACTCACCATTCATTATCTCATTTCTCTTTCTCATCTCATTTTATCATCTCTTCCATACAATTTTTAATATTTTCCATTAGGTGTTCCAAGCACCTAATCGTAACAAGGAAACTTTCCCTAAATGGAATTAATTATTCATACTTCAGAAGCAAAAGATTGCACTCTGCCTCTGCCTTTCAGTGGAAGCATGGAAACTTTAATATCCATATATGCATACTTCAATAATACAAACACGAATGCAATATTATACGATATCTTTTTGCTAACCGTACGTATATAATGCGCACAATATATATATATATATAATACAGGTTCAAACAGATAGCGTATCTTCAGCAAACGTGGTGGTTGGAAGTGGTTGGGGAGCTGGACGACTTCCACTTCCCCGCTGGCACCTACACCCTCTTCTTCAAGCTCCACCTCGGCAAGCCATCCGCCGCCTCCAAACGGTTCATCGGCGGCCGCCGCGTCAGCAGCTCGGACCAGGTTCACGGCTGGGACAAGAAACCCGTCAGGTTCCAACTGTCCACCTCCAACGGCCGCCAAACCGCCTGGTCGGAGCGGTACCTGGCGGAACAGGGCAGCTGGGCGCACTACCGTGCCGGCGAGTTCACCGTCGACAACCCGGACGTTCCGATCAAGATCAAGTTCTCGATGATGCAGATTGATTGTACGCACACGAAAGGCGGGTTGTGCTTGGATTCCGTCCTGGTTTGTCCTAAGGAATTGGGAGATGGAGTGATGATGAAGCAATTAGCATGAGTAGAATTTTGATCAGTCAAATTTGCTATGGAAATGGAGGTTATATTATATATGTATGTTACGTATTTGTTTATGTATATATACGCGGCGAGATTATATTCATTGATATTGTTAGCGAGGCAGAGCTGTGTAACAGAGTAAAAGGAAGAAGAGAAAAAATAAAGTGGGTGATCAGGAGGTTTTCTTTTGTCTTCAATTCTTGTCGCCTTCTCTGTAATTTTCTCCTCGTGGAGAAAATGTAGTATTTGTTAATTGAATGGAATGGAATCCATTGAAGAACCTTGGCCGATCTGCTTCCCCATGTGCAAGGAAAAGAAGCTGTCTTCTGCTAGTTTCTGACTTTTGATGATTCGGTTTCCACTGAAGAATGTCGGAAGGAAAGGAACTCTGGAAAGTAAGGCAGGGGAGGTGGCGGAACTGTACTGAATTGGGGTTTTGGTCCAGGAAGAGCCCAGTGGGCCGTGAATTTGTCGGCGATGGCACTGGTAAACTAATCGATTCTTAACCTCCCCCATTTACCTTCCGTTGGGCCCGGTTTCTACTGGGCTTTCTTTTTGGAACTATGGCCCATTGAGACGGTTAGCGACTTAGCGAGTCACTTGGTGAGATCACAAGCTAAATAGGGCGGAACGCTGCTACAGAAGTCGGTTTCCGCTTCTTTGCAGTACTAGCACCGGGCCCACCTCGTTGAGCGGGTAATCTACACATAATCTTATTATTTGATAAAATTGAAATATAAACCCAATTGATAATAGTTCATTGTTTTGATAATTTTTGTAATAAAATCGTGTTTGTACAAAAGTTTAGCTAAAAAAAATGTGTTATTAATACTTATGAAAGTTTTATCTAAAAATTGTTGTAAGGAAGTGTTTATGGGAGAAGCTGAAATTAAACTATCCATGCGGGGGCAACTTAATGTTTATTATGAAGATGAATTAAAAGAATTGATTTTGTAATTTTACAAACAATAATAATATTATTAATAATATATGAGATGAACGTAAAAAAATGTGTTAAAAATGTTATATGAGATAAACATTAAAAAAAGCAATAGGAAATAAATTATTGACCATCAATCCAACAGTCTGATTGATTTCCAGCCCACAAAAGAATGACTGAATACTGGGCCACCAGATTCAATGGCTGGGAAGTGGAACCAAAGCCGAAGCTTGTGTCCGTTCTTCACCAACAATCGATCGACTTCCATCTAGTTTCTAATCCTATCTCATATTCTCAATAGTTCCACTTCATTTTCCCCGAGTTCTCCAACGATTCCTTCTAAGCCTGTCTCTTCATCCTCACCAATCTGAGAATCCCTAGCACCATGCTCAACATATTGGCTGGGGAGTTTGATTATTATGTATGTTGTATGTGTTGTAACCAATTATAATGTGTGTAAATAGTGAAGATTATTATGCATTTTTTATGTGTTGTTACTACTTATAATGCATGTAAATAGCAAAGATATGGAACTGATAGCAATATACATGTTTACAAATAAAGCGTTTATAATTGATATGTGATATAGTCCAACATATCAATAAAAATGTTTTCCAATATGTATCATATTTGTTGATCACGACACAGATTATAGATATGAAATTGCAATGACAAAAATTACCTTCCTAGAATCACTCTTAGCCCACGAAATTTGAAATGGGAGAATTCCAACCCATGTTTTGCCTTTATGTAGATTTGTAGAAGAGTAACAAAAGGGTCTCTTTCAATTGAGTTGTTTTAGGCTTTCAATCGAATCGTCTCCCGCCGGAAACAGGTAACAAGATGTAATTTCGGCTTCCTTTTTGTTCGTTCCTTAGGTCAATAGGCTGCTTTTTCACATTGCCATGGTCACCTGACTAGGGGTGGAAATCGGTACGGTATCGGTATCCCAATACCAAATATCGAAATCCCGAATACCGAATTATACCCAAAAGTCAATCCCAATCCCTAAATACATTCGGTATCTGATAGACCGTTAATTACACATGTTTTTACCCCCATTCTTACACTGTTTGAGGTGTTGATTCTCGTGTTTTAGGCCGATTTCACGCTAGGTTGTGCTTGTTTATGATATTTCAGGTCCTAGTACGTGAATGGAGGCTTAGGAGCGAGTCTGGGGTCGATTGGACGAGGATCGGACGCATGGCAAGGTTCTAAGGAAGTCGCACGGGCACACCCACAACCCGCACGGCCGTGCAAGTGACCAGTTTGGCCGTGCGGGATTGTGCGTGGGCACGCACGGAATTGTGCGTGGCCACGCACGACCGTGCAAGTGACCAGTTTGGCCGTGCGGGATTGTGCGTGGGCACGCACGGGATTGTGCGTGGCCACGCACGGCCGTGCACGTGACCAGTTTGGCCGTGCGAGTTGGCTGAGGTTCAACTAATTGATACGCCGCGTTTTGAGGTGCACGGCCAGAATGGTGATGTGCACGGCCGTGCACCCTGGCCGTGCGAGTCGGGAATGGCTGTTTTTAACCCAAATTCGAGAGAGAGAGAGAGAGAGAGAGAGCTGGGTTTTGGATCCCAAACACCCAAGGGACGAACTCTAGAGAGAGAGGGCGATTTGAGGGCATTCTTGGAGTAGAGAAGGAGGATTTCTTCGCCTTGGAAGCTCGAGGAACAAGCCCGGACTTGAAGACTGATCATCTGAAGATTCTTACTGCAGTCTCTCTCTTCTCTATGGAGTAACTTCCCTTCACTTAGGTTTTGAGGAACCCTAGCTATGTTTGTTTGATTGGATGATTGTATGAGTACTCTGACTGGAAAATCTTGAGTTCATATTCAATCTATGCATGTTTTCATGATTCAATTCTGCTTTAGTCGAGATTATTGATTCTGCTTTGATTCTATGAGAGGGAATACCTGATTAGGTCAATAGAGCACCATAGATTGATAGTAGTGGATCGATTGCTTTAGTCGAGGGTTGATTCACTGCTTTGTATCGATTGAGAACCCCTTTCGATAGAGGGAGTCTAGTTCAGAACGCCTTGATCAGTTGTTCTAGAGAAGGATACGTCCCTCTAGGCAATTGACTCAAGAGGGCCATGTTCCTTTAGTCGAGACTCAAGGTCTAGTCAAGGATTCTCCGCATTGTGAATGAAAGTGAAACAGGTTAGAGATCATCAATCATTAATCTGGCTAGTGGCTAGGGGGAATCATACCTAAGTGAGTTCCCAACCTGTAATTAGATTAACTTTAACTGTAGTTTGCTAGAGTAGTTTTAGTTCTTTCATCTTAATTTGGTTTGCTAAATAATAAACTGAAGCTGAGTAATAGTAACTCTAGAGACCCGTGGATTCGATATTTATCACTTGAGCCACTATACTGCAGTCCCTTCCATTGGTTACACTTGGCCATTGTTAGGTGTTGTGTTTTAGAGCATCAAGTTTTTGGCGCCGTTGCCGGGGACTTTCTAGAGTATTAGGAAAGGCAGAAGTTTGTTACTTTAGCGTTTTTCGTTTCTTTTCTTTTCCACCCTTGCTTTTCACTTGGGTGTTTTTGTTTTTGTTGGTGCAGATCTGAATCATGGATCCTAATGGCTTCTCCAATCATTGGGGGTATCCACCACCATCTGGGTGGTATTACCCCGAGACTCCGTGGAGCAATCAAGGCGGAGAAGACTATGGATTCGGGTTCCAGTACCAACCCCCTTACTACGGAGAACAACCGGACCCCTGGGCATATCAAGAACAACCTCATTATCAAGAAGAATTTCTCCCACAACCAGAAGGGCCATCGGCACTGGAGTTACTCATGGAGCAGTATGCTCGAGACTGTGAGAGAACATGCTCCAGGATGGATCAGTGTGTCCAGGCCTATCGTGAAACAGATGAGATCCTCCTGAGCCTTAAGAAGAGCGTCGATGATCTTGAGCGATCTTGGGCGCAACCTGCTCCAGATCACCCTTCTGCTACCATACAAGAAGATGAGGAGGAAGAAGAAGGCTACAAGGACATTGTGGAGCACACTGAAGTTGTCACGGAGAGCTCCCGTGATGATCATGATCAGGAGTGTCATGTCGTAGCCGACCACACCTTCCCACACCCCAAACTGAGCTTTGAAGAGGCGGGCATGAGTGAGGAGATGCAAGAAGATCTCATGAAAGAAATTGCTTGGCAACTTGCTCTCCAATCCGTGCTAGAAGAAGAAGAAGAGCAAGAAAGGGTGCAGAAAGAAGTTGTGGAGGATGACGAAAGTGAAGCTGGAGGAGTTCTTGATCATTTCCCAGGGGTGATACCACATGAAGAAGGAAGGGAGGTTAAAGAAGCAATTGGCGTCCAGGCTAAGGATGAAGTTGAGGTGGAAGAGGCCTGCACCGGCCATGAGTTACATGTGATATCTCCACCAAACTTCGAGGAACTGCTTAGCAAGGACCCGTTTGCAGTGTCTCTTTGCCAGACCAAGGCCACCTCGACATCGGTCCCTCTTGGTGGACGCGATGGTGGCCAATCGATGCTGTCTTATCTGGTTTGGGGCAATGAGACGAGAGAAGAGAAGAAGAGGTCTCGAGGGTGGAGACTTCATCTGCATCAAGTACATGAGCCTTCATCACCTGCCTCACCACATGCTCATGACTTGAGACTCCACCTCATCGACAAGAACCTCAACTTCAAGGAGGTTCTAGCATGGACTGAAATTTAGGAGCCATCGTCCAGCTCACGACGTGAAAGAAGCGCTTGTTGGGAGGCAACCCAACCAGTTGGTTTGCATTTCTTTCTCTATTTATCCTCGGTTGAGTCAGTTTTGTTATTTGATTTTAGAGTCAATAACTCAACCTTTGTGAGATTTTGTGTGGTGTTTGTGTTCTGATTACTCTCTCTTTCTGGGATGCACCGCCTGACCCGTTCATCATCATTCACCCTTGATCTGGTAACTTCGTTCTACCCTCCTTATCTTTCCTCCATTGAGGACAATGTCGTGCTTAAGTGTGGGGGGATGTTCGATTATGTATGCGGGTGAATGTTTGGCTGTTTGTGTGCTTGGAGCCTAGTCCACTGTCCAAATTTTTAAATTTGAGGGCTCCAAGTACGTGTTCCATGCAATTGCCTGCTCAGTATGCTTTGAATTGACAGTCTTTATAGTAATATGCAACCTAGGGAGGTAGTGTAGCACTATGGAGGATGTTGATGCATTTAAGAAGTCTCATTTCTTCTTCATATAAAGTTGGTTGATTGA